ATATATATATATATATATATATATATATATATATATATACGATTTTCTAACAACCAATTTTTTTTCTTCCTCCTCAGAAGAGAGAGAGAGAGAGAGGAGGAGAAGGGGAAGAGAGAGGATGATATCGAGGAAAATGTACCTCGATGGTGGAGACATCAACGAGGGAAAGAAGAGGAAGAAAGAAACTGAAAGAACAAGATGGCGGATCGTCACAGAATCCGTTTCATTTAATTGAAAAACAACTTGAAAGTTCAAGAAAATTTGCAATGTTCTCCAATCGATGTTGTTAAAAAGCGAATTGTTATAGCATACGCGTAATATAACGTAACATTGGATTGGACCACTGAAAATTGGCGCAAATGATTTCAATTTTAAATATTCGCAGCAACAGATGTGTGTACGCGCATTATTAAAACTCAATTTTCAAGACCGACGAGATATTATACAACTCTAAAACTCTGCCTCTCCCTCGAGCAACACGAATCGAATTTAGGTTAGGTTTCTCAATTTCTCACGAATTAACTCTCTAACAATCTCAAACCCATTTAATTTCTTCCTCTTCTTTCCAGTCTCCACTACTGATCAACGGAACAATATAAAACCTCATTCTCACCACGCACCAAGACCTCTGTCCTACACAATCCAATCCAACATTAATCGAAACGAATCTTCTATTCCAACCAATAATAATCTAATCCCTCGATCTAAACGAGTGAAACAATTATTACTATTATTATTATTATCATCATTAACGAAAAGCAAAACACGTGAATAACTCCCCTCTCGATTTCAAAATCATCATCGCCTTGAGCCGAGTTGAAAATAAGAAAAGAGGAGGAGACAGACACGGTGTTTCAAAATCCATCAGAGTGTGCGGTGTCGGTGTGTGTGCGTGTGCAATTGTGAGGGTATATATGTTTGCGTGTAGTAACAGGTGTGTAGAATGGTGTGAATGGCATAATTACCGCAGTCCCTCTCGTCAGAGCCGTCTGAGCACTCCTCCATCCCGTTGCACTGCAACTCGTAACCGATGCATCGTCCGTCCGTGCAGCGAAACTCGTTCGCTCCGCAACCTGCTCCACACACCACACTCATGCACATTTAACCCTTTAACGGATGCCACCCAATCGTAGCCGCGCTACCGGTCGACGTCATTCGTCATACGAGGGGTGAATGGAGTAATTGTTTACTTGATCTTGGAGACTCTCGAACGGATTTCGAGGGGGTATCGAATTGGGTTGGATGAGTAAGAAAGTATTAACATACGAGCATTGGATAAGATTATTTGTAAATTGTAACGATATTTTTCCAGGCAAATATGTATATCAACGTGGTGACGAATGACAAGTGTTAATTAGGGACAGATTGGTGACCATTTGTAAGAGTCTCTTGGACAGTACTTTGATAACAATAGTAACAATATTAATGAGTCGACGAGCGGAGGAATGTAAATTTTAAGATAAAATTATCGGATGGTTTCCACCTAATTCTGTCAAGATATATCATCAGCTTGCATTTGTGATGGATCTTGTGTTTTAAAGTGCATTAACTTCGAATAAAGAGTTTTGTTATTATTTTTATTCGTGTTCTTTTTTTTTTTTCTTTTCCTTTTACGTTTCACAGAAAATTCAATTATTCACACAAATGTAAATTATCGAAGAATACCCTCTTTCCATAATATTAATAAAATTCATTCGTTTCATTAATCTTGTTACTGATAAAATCCATATCAAAAGAATTAAGAAACTATCTTAGAAAAAAAAAAAATGTGATTAAATCCACAATTAAATGGAAAAACAAATAAATCTATTTAACCCATCGATTAATCAACGTCCACCAACAATGGTGGATCATCAGGTAACATTCTTCTTTTCCTCGTCGAGGGAAGGAGGAGGAGGACTCTCCTCCGTCCAATTGGTGATTTGGAACGAAAAGAAGACCCGAGTGAATGGCACGGTTAAAGGGTTAAAAGCGCAGTCAAGCTTCTCATCAGCCCCTGCTTCACAAAATAAAACACGCGCGGGCTTACGATTCAAGCGTGCTCCCCTCTCAACGTGTTTCCTTTTCACCCTTTCCAGCCGTCGATACCCTCATTGTAACTATCCCTCTCCCCTGTTCAGAATTCTCTTGCGATGATGAATAGCGTGGCGAGTGAGCGATGACTTCAATTCATGATTCATGGCTAAATGATGAATGAGCCAATGAAATTCCGTGAAATTTCGAATCACTTTGAATTTTAATCGCGGAGAAATTCTTTTCGTATATACAGGGCGATCACTCTGAAATCGTGGTACAAAGATTCTTCGTTTTGCGCGGAAGAAGAAGAAGTACGTCGAACGATAAAGTTTGAGACTTTGTGATATAATAAAACAGGTATAGGAAATTGTTATATTTTAATAAATGTTAATTCAATTTAATAAAATATCCCCTTTTGATTTACTCTACACGATAAAACTGGATTTTTATCAAAAGTATTTCTATACTTTTTCTAGTTTTTAAATACAAACACGAAGGGAAAATCCCTAGTAGAAGTTTTGCACCACGATTACAGAGACATCTAGTTACATTTTCCACGAAAGATTCCTCGCGAACATTACTTTTTTTTTTTTACGTGAGATACATATTAAATAGGTTTTTTCGATCAATTCTTTTTTTTTTTTTTTTTTTTCGATTGAATTATTAAATTCTAAAGTGATTCGAAGGTTGTGGCCCGATCGAAGGGGTAATCTTCGGGGGATGGAAATCTGTTGAAGCGTGCCATGGTGGAAAATTACAATTGGGGATGGGGAAGAGACCGCTTCCGGTCAGGGATTTCCAACACGGGGGAAAAAGAATAAAAAAAATACGTTCCAACCAAATTCACTTTGGATTCAATTTCCCATCGCTGAATAAATTTTCTTAGGATAACTTTAGGGGGGAAAAAAAAAATTATATCTGCCCCTGAACAATTTTTCCGATCGAAGAGGAGACGGAGATTCATTCATTCGGGGCTGATTCTTTTCTTTTCTTTTTTTTTTTTTTTTTGTCTCGAAATTGAAGACCAATTTTTCAAAAAAAAAAAAAATAATTCAAGAAAACGAATTTTACGAAATTAACGATAAATATCGATGGACAATACAGGCTCGTCTCCTTCTCAGAGACGGTAGAATTAAACAGAGAACGTATCTTGATCTCTTTCTGTTTTTTTTGCAAATTGAATAAATGTTTTTTCCACGAATGACACGAGAGTCAATCCGGATCAATTAACAGGTCGTCACTGTTCACGATCGGCTTGTTGCTTTCAAGAAATGAGCTCACACACAAAGTGGTTCTCAAACACCTTCTCAACTTTCGAAACTACGTACACGTGTAACGACGATGACGAGATACGAGGTGATCGATCGTGACGAAGATTCCATCAGATCATTGGAATCCAACGTCTCTCTTTAAGATTCCTATCGTAACTTGGGAATGATTAAAGCAATTTCTTCTGTTCATTATTAAAAGGCAAGAACGGGCTGACTCACCACACTGCTTCTCGTCCTCCCCATTGCGACAGTCTATGTTCTGATTACACCTTTTGTCGATGCTGATACAGGTACCATCCAGACACCTGAATTGATCTCCGCTGCAGGTGGTCACTGGTGGAAAGAAAGAAAGAAAACAAAAAGAGATTAATTAGGGGAAGGATTCTTTTCTTTTCTTTGTTAAAAATACATATTTTTAATAAATAGTGTTAGTAGTAGCAGTAAAAGAGTGAAGGAGGAATAAAATGAAATTGAAAATCGAAATTGAAGGTAAGATTCTTTTTAAATTGTTAATTATTAGTCTTTCTTTTAAATTTTCAATTCTTTTTTTTTTTTGTTGAGAAACCTTTGAGAAACGATTTTGAAAAAGATTAAATAAATCAAAAAATCAAAATCAAAATTGGACTGTGGAGAAGTCTTTGGAATTTGGATATTTAATTTTTATTTTATTTTTTTTTGATTAAAAGATAGATAAAAGTATAAGTACACGTCCACGGTCCAGTCGAAATGAAATAAAAAGAAGGAAACATAATGATACCGGTGCAATTGTATTCGTCAGAACGATCTCTGCAATCAGATCTTCCGTCGCATCTCGCGGTTTGGCTCACACAACTTCCATCTAAGCACTTGAACTCGTTTGACCGACATCGATCTACGAGCCGAGGAACAGAAAATAACGCAATAAATAAAAATTCAAAAGGTATGAGATATAAAAATATAAAATTCATTTTAAAAACAACGAGGCGCAACATACATTTTAATTATAAAATTAAATAAAAAAAAAAGAAAAATGAGATATAAGGTATGATAAGAATGTGTCTACCAGCCTCATAAATTAATCATTAGAATTATATTTGAAAGTAGAAACGTGTTTTTCATTAGTAACTTTTTTTTTAATACATTTTTTTAGTTAAACGAAGAAAACGTAAAGATTTTTATTTTTAAAGATTTTTAATTTTTTTAAATATTCGTTTTTAAAAAAAATATATCAGTTTGATCTTTTATTAGATTTCTTTTCTAAATAAAAAAAAAAAAAAAAGAATTGTAATAATAAAAATATAAACAAAGATACTTTATACTATATTTTGTTTTACTACAAACAATAATTTTTTACGTACTTATTGCGTAATTTATTACGTCTCTCTTGGAATAAAATATATATTTTATTATGGTCCGACCCGAATGAGATTACTTTAAAAAAAAAAAAAAGAAAAAATAGTAATATAATTTCTGCAAAAATAATTTATCTACAAACATCTACAAACATCATGTGCAAATATTTCACGTTTTCTTTTTTAAATACGTGAAAATGAATTTCAATTCAATTCTGTACAGGTTAATTTATTTTAACGAAAGAATTTATATAAATAAATATGCATGAAATATTAAATGAGATATATATACAATATATACATACCTACATCAAATATACTGATTTAAAAAATGGAAGGTGATATAACCTATTCATAAACTGTTTAAAATTGATTTGAACAAATTTGAAAGGTATCTACAAAATTATGTCGAAATATATATATAGATTCAGTGATCAAACTTTTAAAAATAGATGCTGAGAAACATAACCTATTCGTAACCTATTCAAAATCGTCTTAAAAAAATTTAAAGGAAAATAAAATTATATCGATCGGTAATCAAATTTTTGAAAATGGAAACTGACAAATCTAATTTACTCGTAATCCGTTCAAAATCGATTTAAAGAAAAATTGAGAGGTAATAAAAAGGTACAAATATAGATACATCTGAATAGGTAATCGATATACATCGATCGAGCGATCGAATTTTTAAAAATGGCCGACAGACCTAACCTAAAAAGTCGTAAACCGTTTTAAACCGTCTGGAACAGATTTTGAAGGGGATTGATCGGTGAGGGGAGATGAAATGGAGCCGGGAAGGTCCGTTTATCGGGTCGACGCTTGTTCACAGTGGATAATTAGGCGGTAGAACGATGATAATGAATCGGATTATTCCGTTGCGCCTCGTCTCGGAACGGGAAGAAAGGAAGGGAAATAAGATTGCGAGGGGAGGAGAGAGAGGGAAGAACGATCGCGACTGCTCTTTTCGTTCTCGTGCAATTAATTACTCGAGAAACAAGCGTCCATTATCGGGGCCAGTAATATGCTTCGGCTCGAACGATTACTCGGCCGAATAACCACGCGACGAGCGTTTCCGTTTCATCTGAAATCGAATCTTGCGCCATGTTCGCACGTACCCCTTTCCTTTTCCACTTGTTTCTCGACCGTTTCTTCAAACGTACCGGGTGTCTCATTTTTTTTTAACTGTTATACATAATATTCTTTTCTTTTTTGCAATTTTCTTAAGATCAAAGAAAGAGAAGAAAGTTTAGAGGAGGAATTAAGTTTCGTTAAAACTCGAATTAAAACTGGTATTTTAGATTCGATCGAATTTTTATTTTCTATATAGTCGATACGCGTTATGTGTAATATTTATGTAGGACACCCGGTATATATTATTATACGATATCACTCAAAGAGATGTCGGAAATTCTTTGAATGTTGAAAGAAAATTAGTTTTCGCGTAGAAATATTTCCCTGGAAAAGGACATTTTACATCTCGACGCCATTGCGTTAAAGATTTTTCGTTAATTAAATACCTTTTAGAATTATCATATTTTAAAATTCTTTCGAGTCACCTGATGTACAATAAAAATCATACTTATTTTAAATTTTGCAAAAACATATCTCTTTCTTTAACGCGTGTAAAAAGCAATTGTGAATTTTAAAATATAGGTTAAGTTGTATGTTCTCCTTGTCAAAAACCAAACATTTTCAAAACGAAAAAAGAAAAAAAAAACATGCGCGTCTCTCATTCACATGCTTTCACAAGGCAATTAAAGTTAGCTTTCTCCTTTTTTTTTTTCTTTTAGTGTTCAGAGTTCCTGCTTTATGCTTTTCGTTGGTGCGGTTAGTTTCGTACTTATTTTCTGACAATTTTCCTCATCCTTTCCATTGTTACAATCCATGACGCCATCGCATCGTTTCGAGTTGGATATGCAAACGCCCGGGGTGCATTCGAATTGGTCCTCTCCGCAAGCTGCAAGAATCGTATATATTCGATCTGATAGGATGAAAAAATTGTCCTAAGGACTTTTCCTTTCCTTTCTTTCCTCCCAATTTCCTTCGTCCAATGGATAGATGTTGACGGCACACGAGTTGAAAAAGCTCCACGAAGGCGAACAGAGAAGAAGTTACGACGAGCACACAAATATATATACAAAAAGAGGCACAGAACACATATTGCCATAAACTAAGTTTTTTTTTTCGATAGATGTGACAAGCTCGATGTTTGAGGTTAGGAAGGGATTGGTTTGAGAATGATTCGCGAAGGTGGCGCCATCTATGCTCCACCTGGCCAATTGTCATGAATTTTAGAAAAGTTTATCATAAATACGAGATTTTATACATCAAATCATAGATTGAAAGAATTCTGTTGCAAATACTTTCTTATTTTAAACACTCTTATAATTGAAAATATCTTGAAAACAATATCACGAAGAAATGTCGACAGTTATAAAGCGCAATGTATGAAAAATTGATCAATTTTTCCATTTTCATTTAAAAATATATATCTTAAAAAATTATGTATAAATATTTATATACGAATTTTATCTAAATCCTAAATAAATTATCAAGTAAGTACACGTGTCAAGAATTGACAAATTTTTACACCAATTAACCTTGAAAGAAAGATGAAAGTGGAGCGGAATAAGTAGTCGCATAAGTAGATGAATGGAAGAGATGAAGAAAAGCAGTCGTAGAATTAATTAGTGGCCAGAAGGATGTGGGATAGAGGAATGGCCCGCTGGGCTGCTGCTGTGGTGTGGTCATTAATTAACACGCACCTGAGGAAATTTCGCGGAAGAGATTATAAATGAAGAAGGAGTTACAGGCACGCGGTGCCTGTCTAATTTACAGCGGCAATTAGCTAACGATCGAGGATGAACGGCACTTCGAACGAACGAAGCGCACTCGGATGAATGGAAACGGAAGGCAGGCCACGAATTTCTATCGAGCTTCTATCCACCTCTCGAACGATTCTCGAACGAGTGAAAAATAACGTAACGCTTGGGATCCTTGAAATTTAAATACCGGGTGTCAATTTTGAATCAAAATTCACAATTTTTCAAAACTTTTTAACACACACGTGTACGATTCGTGGATGTTTTAGAAGTTTAAAAAAAAGCTGAAATTTGAAAATTTTGAAGACTCGGTATATACAGAGTGTCTATTCCGAAAAGAACTCGGGTTACAGAAATTTTCCAAAAAATTTTTTAACAAGCTGTCGTACGTAATTCGTATCATCGAGTTTAAAGTGTAAGTTGAAACTTGGAAATTCTTAAAGTATATATATACCGAGTGAACTCGAGTTATAAAATTTTGTAAAAAAAAATTTTCGAAAGGATGAGACGAAGAGACACGCATCATCAGCATTGAAAGTAAGATATATGAAGTTTCCCTGTTTCATATTTTTTTTTTAACGAAAATTAACACTCCTCCTTTACATGAGACCGTGTAAAATAAAAATTCGTGAAGATCGTGTGCGTGATCTCGATAAGATCGAGACGAAATTGAAAGATGGATCAACGACAAAGGATGGGCCAACAATACTGCTCCATTTCAGACGATATATTCTTATCGGAGGAAGAGATTGAAATTTTTGTCCATTCATTTTGTCCTCTCCTTTGAAAAAAAATTCCAAGATCGGAATCTATGTATAAAAATTTTTTTGACCCGACAACGCCATAAATAATTAAACACACCGCGCAGAATGATAAAACGTTCACGATAAACGATACACTAGTGGCACTCACTTACTTATCGAGAGATGCGTTCTAATTGCAATACGGGCGATACACGTGCATACCGGGTGTTTCAAAAATTATTATCAACAACGGAAAAAACTATTGTTTTTCTTTTTTTTTTTTAAGAGAGGAGGCAGTGAAAAACAAACACACGGGGAGTAATTAATAAGGGACAAAAGGTGGCCACACCGTTCTTTCAACCAATCCTCCTCCTCCTTCCTCCCCCCTTTTCTTTTTCCAACGAAAATTCGTTCCAACGTGGTCGGCGAGCATTGTTACTCTCGTCGACACGCAACTCTCTCTCTCTCTC